TTTCATTTTCTTTCAGGATAGAATCTTTGTTACAAAATGCCAAGAAGGTAAAATTTGTGCAAGCCCATTTATCTTCTCATGGACTGTGATATCAAAAATAAAGTGTTTGAAGTTGACTGGTTAATGGAGAATTTGCTAGTCTGTGGAAGAAGTTTGGCTGTTATAAATTTTCTTTCTGTTACTAAGGAAAAAGAGGGTAAATTTTAGACTGAATTATTTTTACAGAATTTGTTCTGATAAAATCTATCTCATTAAAAAGAGAACTGAAATTGATGCCTGTAAATTTTTACAGGAAAGGAGAATCACAGTAAATAAAGTAACTGTACTGTTTCAAATGCACTCTCAAATCCAAATTAATTTTATATACACAACAAAGAAAAATGGATATTTAATCAGCTAGATCCTTTCAAATTCCCTGTTGTATAGTCTCAGTGAGCATTAAGTTATTACAAACATAGTGAGTAAATTTACAGTGGGGTCATGTTTTTGTATATTTTAAAGTTTCCTTTTAATTAAAACATTGCTTTGTTTATATAAAATTCTAAGTGATAACTCTGTTTTGTAAACAGTTCTATTTTTACATTTAAATTTCATATAAATTCCTCATTGCAATGTTCTCATTAGTTTATTTTTTTGGTTGTTTGTCTTTTCTGTGATAAAACTTTTACTTACATACCTCACATTTTCAAGTTTTTGTCTGCTGACAAAATATGAGAAGAGGCTAGGAGAACTTGGCTTGTTTATCATAGAGATGAAAAGGCAAAGGGGATCACACTGCAGTCTTTCATTGCCTGTGGGGAAAGCCATGGAGAAGACAGAGCCAAACCATTCTCAGAAGTGCTCAGCAAAAGGACATGAGACAAAGGTCACAATTGCTTTGACCAGACAAGAGGAAGAAATTCTTCATGGTGAGAGTAGATCAGTGCTGGAAGAGACCACCCAGAAAGACTGAGGAACCTGCATCCCTGTGGATTTTCAAAGTCGATGGGGCAAACCCATTGGCAACCTGATCAGAGTTTGCAATTAGGTCTGCTCTGAGTGGGGTATGGGACTGGGTGACTCCCAGGGGTCCTCTCCAAATGAAATTTTCCTAATCTTCTATGAAAGAGTACTTTAAATAATGGCCATCTGATTTTTTAATGAGGAAAAGTCAATCTCCAGAACACTTAACAGATAGTACTTTCCATTAGAGTTAGTACAGCTGTGGGAATTGACATGATGTATACAAGTTTTTGAAGTTCTAAGTTTATTTCTCTGCAGAGTTTACACGGCCAAATCTTCCTTTAGATGCTGAGTTGTGTTGCTATATGTTCTTTATGATTAACAGTTGGGGTAAGACATTGGGTACATTCAAAGCTCTCACAGTCATTGTTATTTCCTTCTGGACTCTTTTCCAATGTATACCATGTACAGTCAAATAATTGCAACATTTTACACACAAGTATAAATAGCTCTATTTACCTGAACTAATAGCCTGGTTCTGCAAATATTTGCCATTGTGTATGAGGAGTTCTAGTGACTTATTCACCTTGTGCCCTAGTGGAAACCCTAGAGAAATATTTTAGAGTCTGTCTTTCTTAAAAAAACCCACAGAAATATTAGCTTCCGCTTGTTCATTGCACATTATTCCTTGCAATATAGTCATGGGGTACTCATTCTTTGTGTGAATCTGAGTTTCCCGTTCTACCCGAAAACCTTCACAAATATCTTCTTGGAATTGTATTCATTCATCCACTATGTGAGTACTCAGCTACAAAGTGTTAGTGTTTTTGTCTAGTTTTTTTTCAACTATCAAATATGTGAGTGCATGACTCAAAACACTGAAGAGTAGTCAGGTATCCAGAGCAAATGCCCATGCTTCTTCCTTAATGTGTGAAAAATCAAATAAATCTTGAATGTAGAAAAAATAAACAACCCTAAGTGTCCCTGAATAATTTCACTGCAGTTAATAAAAAGCACATAAAGGACTTCTTCAAACTGAGTTTGCTATTATCAATCAAAACATGCCTCCAATATTCTGCTCTACCACTTTTTGACCTTCCTTCTTTACTCTTGAATCACCTTCCCAACATATTGACTACCCTCCCCCCTATTTGGTGTTGTCTGGGAACTTCCTGAGTATGTATTCTACCTTGGCACTGGGAACACCAGTGACAATGATGAACAGTGCTGGCACCAGTATCAACCCTGAGGAGCATTCCCTCTAACTACTCACTCAAATCTGATATAAGTCCTCACAAAGACTTGTCCTAGATTTCTCTGTGGGGTTGAGGTGAGGTAGACCAGTCTTTTGTTTCCTGGACTTCTGATTGTCTTTCTTTTTTTCTATTGTTGTTCATTTTTGTGTTTCAAAGTCCCATAAAACTTTACTGTATTTGCTGACAGGTGACTTAATTTTTGTGAATCCAAAATCGGTGCCAAGCCACCAGAGAGGCTGACAATGTTGCAACCTTGCCAGCCTCCACAGTCCCATGGGAACCCACACTTCTCCTCCTGCAGCCCCATCAGAAGGGTCTTACCCTTTACCAAGCACATCCGAATCAGAACATTTGCAATATCTTAAAAACCTTTCAAGACCCCTCCAAAATGCACACATAAAAATGATATAATTCAGCATGTATTGTCAATAAGACTGATGAATAGGGCCTGCATCAGTCAGATTTCCTGCCTCTCATGCCATCAGTTCCAGCTCCAGATCACAGAACCTCCTTGCTAGTTTTGCCGGTGCTGTCAGTCTTTCATCAGGTCTGTGAAGAGAAGATAATTGCTGCATCAATCTGTCTGTGGGCTGAGAAGAGAGTTTGACATATTATGTGGTCTGGAAGGAAAATAAGATTCAGGGGGAAAAAAAGAAAAAGAAAACAAGAAAAAAAAAAGAACATTGAAGGAGATTTTAAAAGGAGTAAAATGCTCTTCCTCCTTTTCTCCCTCTTTAGCAGACGACCCTGTGATCCCTAGGCCTTATACCCAGAGGCTGCATTTAACCGCTGGTAAGTAGCTAACCTTTCCCAAACACCTTGCAGCGCAATGCTTTCTCTGAGAACGCCGCTGTGCTGCGCAATCCTATGGCGAGCTACACGAAGCCCGGGGACAAATGTGCGCCTAACTCTGCTTAAAAAAGTCCTCCGGGAAACCCGTTCCGAATAACGCTCTCCGCCAAATTTCAAAATTGGAGGAGGGATGCCCCTCCTCCGGCACCCCTGTGCTGCGGGAGGCTGCTGGGTGCCCCACCGCCTGTCCGCAGCTCCCTGCAGCCGGCATGAGCAGGGATCTCCGCAGAAAAACAAGTTTCAAGCAGTTTAAAATGAAAATGGCAGGGGGTCGTGGCCTCAGCCCCAGGGGAGAGGAGCCGCGGGCGGCGGCGGGGCCGGGCCGGGCCTGCGGCGCTTCCCTCGGCGGCCCGGCGGGGGCGCTGCGAGCCCGGCGTTCGCGGGCAGCGCGCGGCGCCTCAGCGGCCCCGGGCGGCCCCGGCGGCGCGGGGGGAGCGGGGCCGGCGCCTCCCGCCTGTCCGCACCGCTTCCCGGGCAGCGCCGCTTGCCGGGACAGCGCCGCTCTGCGCCCTTCCGACCCACGAAGGGTCCCCCTTCCACCGCAAAGGGCTCGCTGCCCCGCGGGGCAGCCGGCGCCGCCGTCGGTCCGGCTGCCCAAGGGCGCTGGGGGGCAGCTCCCCGGGCCGTGCCCCCCTTGGCGTTCCCGTGCCGCGGGGAATACGGGGCAGGCAAGCCCGGCGGAGAGCCCGCAGAGCCGTGGCAGCCCCGAGCCGCTGCCCTGCCAGGCTGCCTTGCTTCCCGGGCTGGCTGCACCGCGGTGGATCGGGCAGGGCAGGCGAGCGGCAGAGACCGCGGGCAGCCGGCGGGGAAAGTTGGAAAGGCCTGGGGGAGAGCCGGGGCAGGGGGCTGGCAGCGGGGCGGCGGGCGCGGAGGAGGAGCGGGGAGAAGCCGCACCGGGAGGAGCCGGAGCAGATCTGCGGGCGGCGCATCAGGCGCCTCCGGGGTAGAGGAGAGGGAGGACCCGGGCGGAGAGCACCGCTCCGGGTACCGGTGGCTGGGAAGGGAGAGCTCCGGCGGCATCCGGGGAAGGCGGGGGCAGCGCCGGTGACCTGCCGCAGATCGGCTCATCCGCCGCCGCCGCCGGAGGATGCACGGAGCGCCGGCCGCCCGCACGGCCCCGCCGCCGCCGCCTCCTCCTCCCCAGGGCGGCTGCGGACAGCGGCGGGAGCGCCAACAGAGATAGGGGAAAGAACGCGTGGAAAGTTGTGCGGGCCGGGCGTAGGGCTGCGTACCCCACTGGGGCAGGAGGGCACCGCCGGCATCAGCGCGGAGAAAGTGGGGCTGGAAAGCAGTTTCTGCTCTCGCTGCCAGCGAAGCGCATTTAACCAGCATTACGGGGATGAAGCGAAACTGGGAAAGTAACTCGGAAAAGTGAGTGGGATTTTTTTTTTTCCTTCCCTCTGTTTTGCTCCTAATCCGAAAAGAGCCGTTTAAAAGGAAAGCAAAAGCCGCCGTGTGCGCCCGCTGCTGGGAGAGGCACGGGAGAGGAGCGCACTGCACACCGGCACCCCTGCCCACGCTGGGCGAGGGTGCGGGATCCTCTCCCCGACACCATCGTGTACCAAAGCAGCTACTTGTAGTAAACAGATTCATCATACGGCAGAGCGCAGGAAGGTGAGACAGAAGCAGAAACAGAAACTAACACTGAAAGGAAGAAAGAAAAAAAAAAAAAAAAGACAGCGACTGCAAATTACTTCCAGAGAAAGTGGGTGGATGTTGTGCAGCAGCGACCTGGAATTTTAGGGGATGCACCCTTATATTTTGCTTCTCTCCAGTCCGAGCCTCCCTTCTCCGGTGGCAGAAAGCGGCTGTACTCGGTACAAGAGGAGGAATAAGCAGGAGGGGTTCGGTCAGCAGTGCTTGCGGTGCCCTACTGATCTGCTTTAAGGATTTTTTTTTTTCCTTTTCCTGGTGGATGTTTTCTTGACCTTGATTTTGAGACCTCTTACTTGCATCGCAATTTTTGTGGCTTTATGTCCTTTGACGAAAAGTGGAAAGGGGAAGGCTGGCTTCAGTGCTGAAAGTTGCAATCGTTATTATTTTGGAGCCAGCATGTGCACCAACATAGTCTACGAGTGGCTGAAGACCCTGCAGCTCCCCCAGTACGCGGAGTCCTTCGTCGATAATGGCTACGATGACCTGGAGGTCTGCAAGCAGATCGGCGACCCGGACCTGGATGCCATCGGCGTGGCCGTGCCCCACCACCGCCGCCGGATCCACGAAGCCGTGCGGCGGCTGAAGGAGGCGGACGAGAGGGCGGCGGGGCTCTACTTCACCCTGGAGCCGCCGCCGCCGCCGCCCGCCCCCGCCGGGCGCTGTCCCCGCCGGGCGGGGGGGCCGGAGGAGCCGCGGCGGGGGGCGGCCCCCAGGGCCCGGCCCGGCGGGCGGCGGGGGGCGGCCGGCGGCGGGGGGCTGGTCGCGTACCCCAGGCTGAAGCTGAAGATCATGATCCGGGACAAGCTTATCCGCGACGGCATCAACCTGAGTAAGCCGCCCTACTCCAACAAGGTAAGAGGGTCCTCGCCGGCCGCCACCCCAGCGCAGCCGTGGCTGTTGGGAGTAGCGGGGCGGCTGGGCTGGAGATGGGGGTCCAGCAGGGCCTGGTCCCGCCTCTGCCATGTACCGGTGCTATGTTTCTCCAGTTGTGCCAGTGGCGTTTTGGAGGAGAATATGGTAGGGATTGAACACCAGCAAGGTGCGAAGAGTAGTGGGGCCAACAAAGGTCAGATCCACCAGCACTTTTTGGCACCGGTGGTATGGCATGATGCTGTGTTTAGGTTTTGCCTCCCCTTTTTTTCATTAACTGTTTCTTTTAGTCTGGTTGAGTTTGAGGTGGGAAAGTGGAAATTGACCGAATGGTCTTAATTGTTTGGGCGTTTCTTTGTCTTTTCTGTAAAACTTTTCTATTGTGTTCAAGAGGGATGGCTTCTCTCATCTTTTGCTAGTGGTCCTGTTTTAGTCAGTTTCTGTTGGTGAAATGGCTCCTGAAATAAGCGATCATCTGGCTGGAGGAAGAACTCCAGCAGCTGAATCCAACTGTTGCCTGGATTTATTTGCTGGAATATGGTAGTGACTGGTGAATGTCAAAACTATTCATCGGGCTCCACCACAGGTCAGCCAGTCTCCAGGATGCACAGTCTGCTGAAAGGCCAGAAAAGGGTACATCTCAGTAGAGTCCATTCCAGGCTGATGAAGCCTCAATGTTTACCTAATTCTTATCTTTTGAAAAGGTTATAATGCAAGGTTCATCAGTTTTGGAAGTTTGAAATTGTTTTGTCTGAAATTTTTGGTAGATTTCCTGCTGAAAATGTAATATGCAGAATAACAATAGAATAAAATTAATAATACCATAGAGAAGAAAATTATTTGTGAAAGAAACGAAGGTATTATAATGCATGGGGGTTAAAGAGTTCAGGGTGAAGTGCTTCAGAGTAGTTTGATGACCCAAATTACCTATATTTTCTTCAATGATTTGAAGTCTCATTTTTCAGAACGTCTGAGCAGTTGATGTTGACCTTCAACTTGTGGGTACTTTGTCTCTCTGAAATGCTTATGAATGTATGGAGGCAAGGTGATGGGGAGGGCTGCAAGTTCGAATTTACAGAAATCTGAGGAATTAAAACTGAGAATGTGTTATCTGCTGTCATGGACATGGCTGTGAGGATAATGGGTAAAATTCAACTTGGATAACATTGTAAAAGTGCAGATAATAAAACTACAAATTTCAGTATTCCAATTTTTTAACATTTCAGCGGCAGAGGCCATAGTCTCTTCTCAAGTACAGCACAGTTGTCTGGTTTGGGATGTTTATTTGTTCCCTTTTTCTGAGCTTCTGGCTGAGGACACGGTAAGAGATATTATGTCAAATTTAACACTCATGAACATATAGTCCAAGTACAACATCTTCCAAAAGTTACTGTGTCATTTTGCGGAGAGTCTTTTCCCCCCAGGGTTTGGAGTAACACATCATTAGATTGAAATTACCATTACACATTTGATATAAAAGAAATTCCGTGGAAGTTATGGCTTGTCAGTGTAGCTGCACCACATTACCACCTCCACAGCTGTGTTTCACTTCTTCCATATGACTTTGTGTGTGTTCTTAGTTAACAGTTCAGTCTTCCCAAGTGGATCATCTGCCTTCTCTCTGTGGTATTTTAAAGTTGTTTAGAAGTGGCACTTTGGGACAAGGTTTGGTGGCAGACTTGGCAGTGCAGGATAAGGATCGACTCAGTGGTCTTAAAGGTCTTTTCCAATTTAAATGATTCTGTGATCCTTTTCCACAGGAATTGTAAAATTTATCAGATGCCAGCATATGACATCAAGGCAATTCAAATCCTTGGCATTGATTTCTTCTTTAGCTCACTTTATTTTAATTTGATGAGTCTGATAACAATGTGGATTAACTGTCAGGACAAGCTTGACTTACACAGAAAGCATCACTTAGCTTTAATTTTTTAAAATCTAAATGTAATATTTTGAAATACAAAGAGAAACAAAGTTTATTTTCCCAGTTTTTTTTTCAGGTTGTCGTGTCAATGTATTTGTTTTGGATAATAAATGCATATAACATCATTTTTTACAGTAACAGAAAAAAACTTTTCTCTGTATGAATCACTTTACATTGTAGCATGTTGTAAGAAAGCATACAGCTGGCAAGATTTGAATGTGTGTTGCTCAACATGCATTATTCTGAATGCCACCCACTGTAGCAATCTATCTGCAAAATGGCTTAAAGTAAATAGCAGAAGATCACGTCACTGTACATTATTCATTGGATGTTGTTTAGAGCAAGAAAGATGAAATACTGTATTTTTGCATTTGGGAAAGAGCCATATTATAGCAGTGTCTCTTAAAAAAAAACTCAACAAAACCTAAAAAGGCCAACAAAGCCAAACTTTAGAAAATTGTGGATATAATTTTAGCATTAGAGTTTTATATAGAACATACAGCATATGTGGAATATACAGGCTTCTGCATGTCAAGAGAAATTGAGTATATTTTCTGCAGCACACAGGATTGAAGAATCAACTTGAAGGTTTATGTCATGGTTTTTTTTGTATACATTTACTACTCATCCTTGTCATGTGGACGTTCTGGAGTGAGGCACTAGACCAATGACCTATTCAACAACTATTTGCATTTCTGGTTGTGCTGAGCTGCATACTAGTCTTCCACTTCCATGGCTTACATGGAGAATGCCATCTTTTCTACTTAATATGTATGCATAGAACTTAGTGTCTCTGAAAGGAGGACCCTGCTGGTGTGTATATGTGTGTACATGTACATATGTATATGCATTTGTTTCCTGAGGAGTACTTCTTGGACTCAGTTAAGAAGTTCTCAAGCAAGATTTGGTGTTTTTTTTTAAAACATCCCTGAGAACTGGAAGTATTGCTCCTCTGGCTTCTTCAGAGTCTTTTGCTAGCTGGCTGAGCTGTAAACATGTCAAAAGATCAAAAATTAATGTTGTATGTGGCTGTAGAGATGTTAAAAGCATCCTTTTGCTGTCTTTCCTTTTTGCTGTAGTTTCAGATGAAAGGTGGAACAACAGAGTTGGCAGAATAGAAATCTATTGCTATGGTAAAATTTAGTTTAACTTAGTTTTATTTCAGTCAGCAGAAATGGCTAACAGCTACTTTGCAGAGTTTAATATAAATCCCTTAAAACACGTGCAGACTTGGAATTGAAGCCATGTGTGTGGGTGACTTCAGACACAGAGAATTATCATAAGCCATCTTGACTATTTCCATGGAGAATTTGTATGAGGCCTCACCTCCTTATATTGTATCCTATGTGTATTTCAGGTAAACCAAGGAACATAACTGTAACTGAGGAAAGCAGCAAAGGAGTCAGATTTTGTTCCATGTTGGTAATTCTCCATAGTACTCAAAGCTTTATGTTTTAGTTTTTTTCACCAAGCTTGCTATTGCTGGCTGGTAGCCTTAGGAGTCTCCCATGTCTAAGAAACTTCTTCTGGAGGTGATGGGATTTAATGCCCTTCAAAAAAGAGCCCATGACCAAGTGAAACTTTTTGTCATCTTGAAACATCTAGCTGCTCAAAAGAATTATCTTTGATGATTATAATTCTGTCGTTAATTAGAAAGTGAATTATGCTCAGTGTAGAAGACTTTTGGCAGTCTTTCACCTCTAGAAGTTTTGGGAAACAAATTGATGGCAGAAGGAAACCAAAATGAGCATGCCCCCTGCATTACAGTGAAGGTGAATGTAGGAAAACACAGCACTGATCTGAACCAAGGGGATCTGAGAAGTCTAGCCATCAACTTCACACAAAAACACTTTTTTCTTTGGTAGGCTTATTCCAAAATGGATAATGTCCATGCTGGGTTTGCGAAGAAGTAAAGTCACTAAATGTCACTGTGGAAGAGGGAGCAGAGGAGCATTCAATTCTGTCAATAAAAAGACAAGTAGGGTACCTTGTTGTGGAACATGCCAAGAGAAATTTAGTACTCTATTTATCTTGAACATAGATTAAGTGACATTTAATAGTTCACTGTAATTTCATTATTATTTCTAATTGAAATAAATGGCCTGACCTCTTTCTTGAAGAACTTTATTCAATTTTTCATCTGCACAGAATTGCAAGTACATTAAAAACATACATGCATTAAATCTCCCACACCAATTAAGATTATTTTCTTAGCCTCAGTAAAGTTATAGTCATGGAGATTTCCATATTTATTAGAGAGAATAAAAATGCAGTGTGACATTTGTACATGTACATGACCTCATTGTCACTCACTGTGCTCTTCATGATTATCAGCATGCTTGGAAAACAAACACTAAAAATTCAGATGCATGAGATCATAATCTCAAGAGTTCAAGCAGATGTAGAAAAGTAAAATGTCAGATCCAAATGAGTATCTGCTTAAACACCCAAATGCATTCTTTTTAAGTTATGTGCTGATAATATAGCACAGATTTGTGGCTCTGATTAAGTCTTTGTTTAATCCTTGCCACTACAAAATGAGGAATATTTCACAAAAGTTAAGTTTTAAGAGGTAAAGAAGCCAGCAATTCTACTTCGAAATACACTGGTTCAAGCTGGGGCTGGGAAAATGTAATCAGTACTTTAGACATCTACAGAAGTGAATTCAGCAAATTAAAAATATTGTGCTTTGAAGAAATGACAACACTCACCTGTACTGGAATTAAACATGAACCTTTTTCTAAAGACCTGGCTGCTTTAGAATAACTGCATCAACTCTGATTAGCAGAGCGTTCTCAAATATGCCTTGGGGAAAGCTGCCTATTGACAGAAGTACTAGTGCATTAAGTAGTAACAATATTTTCATGGCAATAAATTAGCAAAGCTACAGGCAATGTTCAGGAAGTGAAAAGGTATTTTATATAAGATACCATGGAATTTGCCTTTGACTTCACAACTCTGTTTTCTTTTAAAGAAAACATAGCACCTCATATATTTGGCAGCTGTTTCAAAGTCCCAGTTTATTAAACTCACAAAAAACAAACTGGAAAAGATCTTCCAATCAGCCCATCAAAGCAAAATGTTGCAGAATGTGAACAATACAGTACTATATTGTATTTGCATTTGAATTGTTCCTGAATATTTTAAAGTGTATTCAATCTCCTCTGGAAATGTTGAATGCAAATCTTCATGGATTTCATTATTTTTCAGTTAAGAGGGATGGAAGATCTCATTAGGGTACATTACAGGTGGCATCCTGAGAGAGGATAGTATCGACTCCACAGCTTTCTTTCCCCCTTTCCACAATTGTGTTAAGAGTAATTTCCAAGCTCTGATCGAGGTGTGGCCTGGCAGAGGAGCAATGTGGGACTGAGCAGCTGCCCTGCAAGGGGAATCCTTCCCACATCCTCCACAAGGCTCTAAGTTTGAAGGAAAAGCTAAACTTAAAGGTTCCTGGCAAAAGAGAAATGCCTAGCCTCTGGTAGTTCCCCCAAAGGACTTGATTCTCTCAGAGCTCTGTAGTGCAAAGCTGAACTGATTCTTCCCACCTACTGTGGGGTTTTGTGTAAATACTAGACCTCAAGAGGGACACCACCTGTGTTGGGACAAAAGTCTGTCTACCAGTTTCACTTCCACACACTGATAACCTATCTTGTTTTAAGTTTGGTGATCATACATCTTTCTGAAATGTAAATGCATTTTAAGGAAAATATTTATGTTGATAACCCTACCCCCATAGCTTCTGCCTCTGCCATATGTAGGATGATTAAGCCCATATACACAACTACATATGTGGAATACAAAAAAATCCAAGATAATTTCTCACTAAAGAAGTAATCTTGTGAGCCATGTTTCTAGTTTTGCATATGACCAATATTAAAATCTCACATATTCCATGATATGGGCAGCTGTGTCCCTGATTTCTGATGTGGAAGTGAATAATTTGTTTAAAGTCATGACAGATTTTAGAAGATGAGGCACTGGGACCCACTGCTGCAATGTGTTTGTCTATTGCCTTAGGATTAAGAGTAAACTTCCTTACGTTTAAGTAACAGAAAAGTGATCAAGGAATAGCTGGTGGCCTGGCTGCATGGCAATTAGTTATGCTTGTTAATTCTCCATGTTAATTATACCCTGTGCATATGTCATTTTGGAGGGTCCCTATCCACTAAGGTGTATAGATCCAAACATAACCTGAAACATGCTAACAGCCATTACAGAGTTTTTGATAAGTGCAGCAGAGAGGTTTGAATTGACAGGAATACTATTATTGTAGATTAGGAATAAATTTATTATATCACTTACAGGAACTTGCTTACTGTTTTGAGACTCTTCTACAGCAGAAGAGGATGGAATGTGTTAATACTAGAATGTAGGTTCAACGTTTGAATTTCTTGCTTTGTCAGTTTGAATGAGCCCCTCTGCTTGGTGTTTGACAAAGCTATCTGTTCAATCTCTTTGTCTAGGCTAATATGACATCTCATATTGATGTGCTTATCTTGACAAATGTGGTGGCTTGTGCGCCCTGCAGGAATCGTCTTTTATTAAAAGAGCGCAGCATGGCTATGTTTAGCACTGCCACATTATTTTGGGACTGGCTGTGCAGCAGGAAGGGGAGATCTGGGTGAACCTTCCATGACACTTGCAGTCTGCGAGCCAAGCCAGCCCAAAACTGTCCCCAGTGACTCATCCAGCCTCTTCAGTTTGTTACTTGCAGATAGTAAAAAACTTTTCTTATGATTTTGCAAAACAAAAAAAAGTGGCGTGTCACGTGAAACACAAGTAGAAGGGCCTTCAAACAGTATCTCATCTTCA